CTATGGTGTAACAAGGGTGATCTTTGCCCCAATTCCTGATAAGTTCTTCATTTCTATTTTGAGACCTCAGCATCCACATGGTCTTTATCATCTACATTTCTATCAACATTCTGGTCACAGCCATTTAACCAATCTCTAAAATCTTCCAAACTTTCCCTCATCTCTTTTTCTTCTTCTAAGTCCTCCAAACTCCTCCAACCTTTGCCCGTTACCCAGTTCCAAAGCTGCATCCACATTTTCACGTATCCATATAGCAACACCCCACTTCTGGTACCAATTTTCTGTTGTAGTCCATTTTCTGTTGCTGTAACAGAAATACCTAAGACTGGGTAATTTATAAAGAACAGAGGTTTATTTGGCTTATGATTCTGGGACAGCTGCATCTGGCATGGGCCTCAGGCTGCTTCTACTCATGGCGGAAAAGCAGCAGGCAGCCGGTGGGTACAAGCAGATCAGATGGTGAGAGAGGAAGCAAGAAAGAGAGAGAGAAAGTACCAGGGTCTTTTTAAGCAACGAGCTCTCTTGGGAACTAATAGAGTGAGAACTCACTCATTAATCCCCCCTCCCCAAGGGAAAGCATTAATCCATTCATGAGGGATCTGTCCCCATGACTCAATCAGTTTCCAACACTGCCACATTGGAGACCAAATTTCCACATGAGTTTTGGAGGGGACAACACATCCAAACTCCATCACAGTTTTAAGTCATATCTGAATACTGAAGACCACCACCTCCCTTCCCTGGCTGGCCCCAGGACTAACACTGTATTGCTGAACCTCTCCCAGCTTCACTTATATCTAATGCTAGAGGATGATAACTAAGATTTTGTGTATTTGAAGGCCGCTGGAAGGTTCCAGGTTCACATGAGGAAGAGAGATGTCCTAGACAGCACTCTGAGCAGTCGTACCTCTTCTCCACGTAAACTATTTTCAAAGATCTCAATTGCAATCCCCTACCTCACAAAAGATGGTGCTCTTATGGTATTGGCTGATTAAAAATAAAAAGAAAGAAAGAAACCTAGAAACTGATTGTTTCAGGTGGTCTTTTATTCTCTTTTTAAGGGCTGGGGAAAGAGAGAAGAGGATGAGGAGTCTACAAATAAAGCCCATGAAAGGATAGGGGATTCAATGAGTTAGTCTGACAGTTTCCAAAGTAGTGTGCCTGCCTGGAACTGTTCATTCCCCCAGAATAACAAAAAAGCATACTAAGGGCCCAAATCAGATCTACTCCTCCACAGAAAACCACCATCTCCACCTGCTCCTTAGAGCTGTCCTCCTGCAGCCAAAGGAGAAAGACCTCCCACTCAGATCCTCCTTTGCAACACTGCTTTAACAGGCAAACAGAGCTGCCTCCTCTTACCAGTTAACCAAACCCAAACAAATTCAATTGGAATGCATTAGAGAAAGAGCACAGCCAAGAAGTCTTTAATAGAGAGAAAGCAGGGAGAAAGAAAAGGAAAGAAAAGGGGGAGCAAAAGCAAACACTATGTCAAGAGCAGTTTTTGACCAAACTAGACCCAGCCTGTCTCCCAGTTACATCTGTTGAAGATGTGACTCACAGCCAAAAGAGGTTTTAGCTTCACTTAACCTCACTAATAGGCTCAGATGGCAAATCCTGATGGCAAGCCTCACCTCACAAGGAGGTCCATGGTTTGGATGAGGGGAAGGGACTCAAAAACTGTGGAGTAAGGAAAGAGTGAGCTCTGTGGGTAAGCACAGCTGCAGATCCCATGTCCTCCACTTTGGTCTGCTCTTCTAGCTCCTCCCTATTATTCCATTTCTCAACTTGCCTCCTGACTTATTTCACTGTTTAGCACAGAAATTCATGATAAAAAATAGCCCTAGACTGAAAACAATCTAGATTATTCCTGGAACTACCTCTCTCTCTGTTGAAGCAGCTGTCACTT